CATCTTTGAAAATAACAGGAGGGAAAAACTTGTACTGTGTCGGCCTGTATTTCGAGATTTCAATGATCTATGTACTACCATTGATAGTTCACGAAAACGCCAAAGAAGCGAATTATTCATATTCCCTATTCTCTAGTGTGTTAGCCTTGAAGGATATCCAATCTCTTAGTATAAAAACTCACCTCCTCAGCGACGTCCTTGTAGAGGCTATATAATGAGGCAAAGTGAAGTAGTAAAGCCAGTAAATGACAGCATTTACTTTGTGTATTCACCTTAATAGCAATAATTATCGTCAAAAGAAAGAAAAAGCTGCGAATACAGGTTTCCAGCCTCGAAAGTGGCTAATGGAAGAGTTAATGGGAAAAGAAGTTCTACATACTCGATCTGCCTTCGTCATCACAGCCTTGTAAAACAATAATATATCCGACCAATAATTGGCTCGCACAATATCTCTGAAAAGAAGAAGTGGATCGATTTTTCGAAAAATCATTTGATCCAGACATCTAGCAAGGAAAACTGAAATTGTGCGATTTTGCTGCTATTTAGGAAAGTTAGAGAATTCGTCATGTGCAAATTTGGAAAAATAAATCAAATCTGTGCAAAGTTCAAAATGGCATATAATCAATAATTTGAAAAATTTGTTATCGCGACTTCCATTACCTCTTTCACTGTTATATAAGTTCCAGTTTAACTAATGAGTAATCAATGGCCTACCTGTCATCATACAGTAACCCTTGAACATTGTAATTTGCATGACTGTAAGCTTCAGAAAGAGCCGAAGTAAACAGAAGAAGAAACCTTCCACTCTTCTTTGAGATATGTGTTGTCTTCAATGTTTCCATCACATCGGTACAAACTGCAAATGTGTTCTTATTATTAAAAGCCTTCTCTTACGTTTATACAATCAACTCACTTTTATGGTTGGAAGCTGTTTCCCAGTACGTTTCGTTAAGTGCTGCATGGAAGCTTTTGTAGATCTCAGCCATTTCATCTGCTGTGATATGCATTCGTCCTTTAGCATCCACTCCACGAGTATGTCGCAAATGCAGGTGCATTTTGCTGAAAAATCTTATCTTTGCAAGGTTCAAAACAGTTGTGGAAGCTTCTTGATACGAGCAAAAGCCAAATCGCTATTCAAAAATGAAGCCATCGGGGAGGGGGGTTGTAAGAAACGTTCAAAGCTTTTCAAATGTGTGGTCAGTTCCGATGATACGTCACTGTCTGACGATCCGTGACTGCGTTCTGTTGGTACTGATCTAAAATATAAAGAGTCGCTAGCTCTATTCAAAAATCAGCGAATAGCAGAAAACAGGCGGAGGTCTCGAAACGGGATCGCCTGCAAATCTAGCACGCAAAGAATCACTGGTTTACTAGTATCAGGAAAGGAGCATAATCCAAGCATAAAATTTTTTCAAAATTGACTAGAAAAAAGCGAGATTCTAAAGTTAGTGGATAAAACTCTGCTAACCAGTCATAAACCAAAATGCTCCTTTAATTCCGCCAATCTCCAGCCCCATTTTCGAAAGGTCAGGTTTTTTATAAGCTTACAGCGTTTATGATAAGGGTGCCAGTCATACCTCGAATGATTGCGAGAGCGCGTCATCTCAGCTTTGACCTTGTCAAATTTTTCGTATGCACTGTGTATTTACACAAGAAATGAATAAGTTCTTAAATCGTAAATCCATACAGCATTTAAGAAGGACAATAGGAGGGTGTAGTGACGAGAGGCACGAATTTTTATGTTATACTAGCTGGGATACCCGGCTCCGCCCGGTCCTCCTAAAGTTCGTCTCTGTACAATGTT